TATGAATTGGAATTGACTTGATGGCAGTGAGTTTGGGTTTTTTTTTTTTTTTTTTTGGTTTGTTGCTCTAGATCAAGGCTGTCACAGTAGGGCAGGTTCTATGTTGAAGAAAGCTGATTTGTTACCACACTCTAAAAGTCAGCTTTGGTGAGGAAAGTGCATTCTTTGCTATAAAAGGAATGGTGAAGGGGGAAGAGGGAAGAAAAAATTATATCACCTTGTATGTATATGTCAGCCAAGTACTAATGGAGATGATGAGTTTACAAGAAAAGTTAAATCAGTGGAAAAGAACACATTCTTAACTCCAAAGGAAAAGAACTTAGCCTATAGAGTGCTTTATATGAAGGAGCTCTGGAGACACAATGCTGGAGTGCTCAGCTGATAAGCAAAGGGTCTGAAGTTTGAACCCACCAGCAGCTCTGTGGGAAAAAAGACGTGATGATCTGCTTCCATAAAGATTGCAGCCTACAAAACCCTATGCAGCAGTTTTACTCTGTCATATAGGGTCACTATGAGTCAAGATCGACTCAATGGTGGAAAACAACAATAACCAATAAGAAATATATGAGAGAATACATTAACAAAAGCTTATATTAAATTTGATGGCACTGTATCATTCACATAAGATTGCTGCCTATATCATTTAAGAAAAATACTTGGTTTTAGAGTTTTGTGACAAAGGTTTTCTAGTTTTCTTTTAAACTACAACAATAATTTTTTTTTTTTTTATACAATCTCATTAAAACTCTTAGATGTCAAACGCCTTCCATGTACACTGCAGTTTAAGACCAATGATGTTGCAAGCTTACCATATGCCAGGATTGGTGCTAAAGGAGTAGCCAACTTTCAAAAATATTATGAGGTAAGTGGACATTATTTTTTCTTTTTTCTTCACATTGAATTGAATAAACTGAGGAATTTGAGAGATGAAAAAGTTGCCCATGGTCATGCTGGTAGTAAATTATGTAACTTGGATTAAACCCAGGTCTGGGTTACTTTAAAAATCTATTTTTAGTCACAGTATTATGAAGAAGGAGCATTGGTAGTACAGTGGTTAAATGAATGGCTGCTAACCAAAAGGTCTGTGGTTTGAACCCACCATCTTTTCTGTGGGAGAAAAATGTGGCACTCTGCTTCCTTAAGGATTTACAGTCTTGGAAAACCTTTGGGGTTTTTCTACTCTGTCCTACAGGTTTGCTATGAGTTGGAATTGCCTCATTGGAAGAGGATTGATTTGGTTTTATATATTATGAAGAGGGAAAAATCTCAACCTAGTAGTACTACCAAGCTAAACTGGATTTAAAAATAATTGCATGCCTAATGAAAGCAATGGGAGCAAGCCCTGGTGGCACAATGATTAAGCACTGGGCTGCTAATCAAAAGGCCGGTGGGTTGAACCAACCAGCCATTCCATGGGAGAATTTATGACAGTCTGGTTCCATCAAGATTATAGCCTTGGAAGCCCTGTGGCGCAGTTGTACTCTGTTTTGTGGAGTCACTTAGAGTCTGAATCAAATGGACGGCAAGGGTAAAAGCAGTGTGTAGAATAAGGGATTGAAGGATGTAAGGCTTTGTGTGCTGCTTTTCAAAAGGTCTTGTTGTTGTTGTTATATGCTGTCGAGTCAAACCCAACTCAAAGCGACCCCTCTTTGGGTTTCCAAGGCAGTATCACTACGGAAGTAGATTGCCCAACCTTCCTTCTGAGGAGTGGCTGGTGTATTTGAACTTCCAGCCTTCTGGTGAGCAGTCAAGTGCCTTAGGCACTCTACTACCAGAGAGGGCTTCATGAGCTATATTTAAATCTATACATTTTCTATATTCTATTATTTTAAATAATAAAAAAATAGTATTTTAAATGTCTAACCTAATTAGGTAAGCCAGATGTTTTTTAAATATGCTAAAGAAACTTCAAATTTTTAATTAATACTCACTTCACTTTTAACCAGGAGGAGGAATTTACTGCAACAGCCTGAGCTTTAGCTTTTGCCAGTCACTGTTTTAAATTGCATTGTTGTCTTTCACTATGACAGAGTGACAATTTCATCAGTGGAAGAAAATTTCCCAAAAGGTCAGTAGGGAAAGCAAAAAACTACTGACACAGCTTCTGGGCTCCATGAGGAAATATTGACAATAAAATTTTGCTCAGACAGGATAGTACTAGAGCTGAATACTATATGACATGTCATGATTAATCCTGCTTGGGTCCTAAATTGGGATTTGTTCACACTTCAATCCTACCTGCAGAAATTGATTTTTATTTTACATAATAATTGCATAAAATACATGTAAGTATGATGATGATGATGGAATCCCGTGAGTTTTAAGGATT